GGGTGGTGAAAACATTCTATGTCTTGATAGGGATGTGGTTTACACAGGTAGGTGCATTTGTTAAAACTCACTGAATCATAACAAGTTCTGTGCAAGTCATACCGCAATTAAAAAAAAAAAAGATGCATAGTTATAAAACGGGTCATAGAGCAAATTTCAACACATTAGCGATTCTTGGAACTACTGACTATAAAAAGTAAATGTAATTTGAACTTAAATAAATTTATACATATGATTTTTTTAATCTTTGAAAAAAAAGTTTTAACTGGTAAAATTTTTTCCTAGTACCAATGGTTTCGATAGTCTGTTTCTTAACTACTTCCACTTTTGCTTTTAATCATTATTTCTATAAAACAGAGTTCCCTTTTTATGATGTTACTCTTTAGTCAATATTTAATCATAATTAGAAATGAAATGGAAATATGCAATAATGCTTAAAGTCATAGAGCTTTAATGGTACATGGCTGGTGATATGAAGGGGTGGTTAAGAAGGGTCACCCCTCTGTACACATAGTTAATGATATTTCCCCTACAAAATATAATAACTGCAGTGAGACGGATTCTACAGACTACGAATTTAAAGCTAAAGCAGCACTCTTACCCAGTACTGGAACCACAGCATAACACGATGCCAAGAATGCTTCTGTGGGAATGCCACTATCTTCCAGAAGTTCAATGTCACTAAAGCTAAACAGTTTGGTGATAAAGAGGAGAAAAGAGTGAAGATACATTAGCACTCTCTGCAGTTCAGAGGAAATCATAAAAACAGCTGCCCCTTCATAAGCAAATCATTTGGTCTGATTGCAGAGATGCCCCAGAAATTGTTTTTCTATTATGATACAGTCTAATAAAATCATTTCCAAAGGTAATCTACCCAAGCAGGCTAAAATGTGTTCACAGAGTATACTCTCACAATCCCATGCCTTTTCACCCCCAGTTCCAGACAAGGTGACTAGTAAAGCAGAGACTTGGGTGGACCATATTCACGATTCTGTTGGAATACACCATCACCTGAAAAGAACCCTAGGATTGATTTTCCAGAAGGGAAACTGGTGTCCAACTGCAATGATGTTAGAGAGTATAGATTACCTGGTGTTCATGGTGCTAAAGAAAGTTGGGATGGCTTCTTGGCCTTCTTCCCAGTGGGATTCTGGGGAATTTGCTTCAGGCTGTGCCAAGTCGCTGCCATGATTTCCCAGGCTCTCCCCTCCCTCTTCCTTCATTATTTCACCTTGGACTTCAAAGTAGAAGATACTTATCACCAATCTATTATTACTAACCTATTATTTATTTATCATGAAAATTAATACATATTCATTGGTGAACATTTCTAGAACACAGAAAAATACACAGAAATAAAAATCCGTGAAATACTGCACACATACACCTATCTACTATACATACGAACAAATAGGGTTTTCACTGAACAGCGTATCAAAAAATATTTTCATTATCATTCCATACTCTTCAAAACATGATTCTAATGACCATG